TGCTGGGGGCAACACACCTTACAAACGCTCACAAAGACTGAAGCAGCTCCTGGAGGATGTCAGGCATAACACTGCTGGAATCATCCAGACCTGTCCGCACTGGAAATGCTACATAAACACAAGTTATTGTAATCCATATTAATTATTTATTTTAATGCGATGTTTCATTTTAATTCAAGGAGTGGCATTACCACCTTATAGCAGCTGGCTCCCGTGTTCTATTCTTAGCTAACTTTAGTATCTGTGTAGAGTTTCTATGCAGGTTGTTCTCATGTCTACATGGGTTTCCTCCCTCCTAGCTATAATTTGCCCCTAGGTATGAATGAGTATCTGAATATGTGTGTGTGTGTGTGTGTGTGTGTGCGTGTGTATGTGTGGGGCTCTGTGATGGACTGGATTACCATTCAAGGTGTATTCCAGGTTCAAACCCAATGTTCCGGTGATAAGCTCCAGGATGTCTAGGATGTCTTTGTAAGCTGTAGCATTACAGTTTCCCTTAAGTGGAACTAAGGGCCCAAACATGTTCCAGCATGACAATACCCCTGTGCGCAAAGCGAGGTCCATAAAGACACAGTTTGCCACGGTTGGAGTGGAAGATCTCCAAGTGGCCTGCGCAGAGCCCTGACATCAACTGAACACCTCTGGGATGAATTGGAACACGAGCTGCACTCCAGGCCTCCTTGCGACCATGCTCTCAGTAATGCTCTTGTGACTGAATGAACAATGTACTTTGGCCTGACTATAATACTGCTAGAGTGACATGACTTGTTCACTCTAAAGCCCTGTCAGCTTATCAACATGAAAGCGCCTCCTGTTTTATGCTGTTTCAGTGTCAACTACAGCTGAACCAAATTAGTTGATGCTTTCTTTTATCTAATATTCATTGATGTATGTTTACCTCCAAAGTCTCTGTTTTATCAAAACCTGCATTAGGCCACATAGACAAAGCCAACTGCTGTCCTATTATCCTGGTAAAAGGTGCAAAACTTGAACCAGAGAAAAACTAAAAACATGCAAATGAAATGAGTAATGATGAATGTTTCTCATTTATATGCTGCATGTCTGTGCAGTGTGGGATGTTCTACTTTCACAAGGATCCCACTCATCCATTAATTAACACCAGAATCCCAGGCTTGTGGTCTTCTCGTGGTTTTTGCAGAACCTATTTCAGGATCAGGAATGAAGACATTACTTAGTCACAAGAAGATGAATTTTAAAGGCTTTAAAGCCATTACAAGTCAAGCTTCAATAGTACAGACAACAAAAGTAGAACAAGAGAACTGACAGTGAAGAGAGTCTTATTCCACTGGCAATTGGACTCCTACTCTGATTTACAAATCACAGTCACTACAGGAATAGCGATAATGAGGTCCCTTGAACTGAATGCAAATGCTGTAAGGAGACTAAATCTCAACAAGCTTCCATGTCCCAAACAAGGCTGTTTATAATTGCAGTGTTACTATGTAGCTCCTGTTTATGCTTTTGGTGTCCATACAGCAGCAGTACACCATGCTTGATGTATTTCTGAATATTGCATAAGCACCCTTGTGGCACAAGAATCTTGCGAACACTACACACAACATCACAACGCAATAAGGTGTCCTTATGAAATATTTTGATATTTTACCATAACCAATGTCTTCAAAGCCTTACATGAGTGCAGAATTTCTATACAACTCTATATAATGCATATTTGATTATCTGATTAATTTAAATCATTTAATAAAATTTGTTTGTTGCTTTGTTTTCTTTTGTTCAAATTGCTCTCTCTGTCAAGTCACAAAGGAACTAGATTCACAAATCTAGATGAATTATATTCATGTAGCTATTAATGGTTCACAGTGATGAATTGCTGTGCTTTAATTACATATTGGAAAGCAATTACCAGCTGTTCAGAGGGCACACAAAATGTTTGTTTCATTGCTCTTCTTAATATTGTGATTTGTCACAGGTGGAATACAAAATACAAAACCTTGTAGGCATAGGAGTCTTTAAGAATGTTATTAATCACAAAGGTTTGAGTCTTGGCATAAGTGTAAATGTAGATAAATTATGCAAAACGTTTTCCACTTTCATCAGCTTATGAAGTGCAAAGTCGGTTGTGGTAGTTCTTGAGAATTAATGTTTAAAAAGCCTATATCGGGGTTTTTATTTTTGGGGGGCAAATTGGATAAGGCAACCCATGATCACGACAGACAGACAGACAGACAGACAGACAGACAGACAGATAGATAGATAGATAGATAGATAGATAGATAGATGTAAATGTGCATGTGAATTCCTCGAATCCTTTTATTTTTCCACATTCTCTTTTCTTTTACCTTGTTCAGTAAAGAAAACAAATCAAGAGGATTATATCACCCTAACCTATCCTAACTAGGCTGTTCCTGTGTATTTTTAAAAATATATATATATTTCATACCTTTGCATTTTATAATGTTATCAGGCATGGTTTACAGCTATAAGCCTTGTGAATCCTCCAACGCTCTTAACCTCAAGGTCTTCGGTTATGTGGGCTTCTCTCACCAATCAATACAGCACGCTGTGCAGGATAAAGATAGTTCCAAAAGTCAATACACAGACCAGATATAGCAAGGCCTCAAAACAGAGCCTCAAAGCATTGGACATACTATTCATCTTCGAGGTAAACAGGGAAAAGAGGTAAAGAAGGCATTAAAAGACCTGTTTTTATTCATACGATATAGTGTCTGATTGTTGTTGTTGAAATTATATGGGTTTTGATATACAGTATATTATTGCCTACATGTTCTGTCAATCCTATTTTATATTTTATGTGTTTTCCAAATTAATTTTCATTTGTAGCCAAAACACAAAATATGAAACTATATCAATGTGTGGAACAATAATTGGGCTTGGTTCAGTGTCTAAATGTAGATCCTGATTGTTAGATGTGATATTACTTATCTGTTTGTCCTATATTCCCCACTTTGGGAATTGTAATTTGGTGATGAATTCTTATGCCACTGAAGCATCCTTTCACTTACCACCAGCTTGTGCCCTAACTCTGACAGGAAGAAAAGGCAGAGCGGCAACAGATGCAGCTTCCAGAGAAGTAATTCCTCTTTTATCCTTTGGCATTAGTGTCAAGCTCCCACTGAGAATACAGTGATGTCTCACAGTGTGGCTCTGTGGCACAGCAAGACTGTGTATGACAGACTGAGCTATCAGTCTCACAGAGTCCCAATAGACCCAACCAATCAATTGGCTATTTTAGGAAGAGAAGATTTTGACAGCAAACTTGAGCTGGGTTTGAGCACATAAAGTACATGACTCACTCTACATTTAGTGAACACTAGTGTAACTGACGGTGTTTTAAGGTAGTGTTTACATTATATTTACATTACATTTACAATGTACTTTCAAGTATTTACAGATGATACATAATATGAAAATTAAAAATGGAAAATTGTGAATTTTGTTGGAAAAAGTGGACGACTTCTCAAAATAAAATTTACCTTAATAACATGAGATAATTGGTTAGAAAGTTTCACATTTTTTTTTATTTTATTTTTTTTAAAAAAACTTTCCAAAGGACATGAGTCCTAGGAACACTGGACATGAGGCAGGGATATAGCCTTGATGGGATGCCAGTCATAGTAAACCACACTAGGCTGTCAGTTGGGCCTATCGAATTATTCTAACTTGGATTAAATATTAATGTTACTCAGTCTTTAGACATGAGAAGTGAGTCAGCCTCCATCAAATTTGTGTAGCATGGTTGATAACTAATGTAACCTTTAGCTACCCATGGCTGTTTGCCACTTCAGGAGGGTATTTTTAGAAATCTGAGGCAAAATATAATTTTGAAGTTAGCATTAAAAATATAACATTATCTAGTTATCACTGTAAATTATTAACCAGTAAAGATATATTACTGTAAACCACAAAACTTTTACATATTAAGCAGTCTAAATTTATTAGGCAAACTTACTGGTGCCTGCCTAGGCAATGGAATGTGCATGTTCTGCTTTAAGTCCTAGGAATTAAGGCCACTTGATAACAATGAACTAGTTTTTTCTCATATCAAGTTGCCCTTCGCATGTAGGCCACAGTTCAGTGTCTCTTCCCAAGTTACATAAAGACCGACATTATAAAATGGATTATATGCAACATAAAATAGGTGATATGAAAATATAAAATGCATTTTCTGATTATTTTCCACAACTAAAAACATAAAATTGCTAAACTTGACTAGAAGAAAAGTTACTCACAACCTACATTTATAGCAGTGGCAATTCGTCTACAACTTTTAAATGCTGCAAAAGCAGTGCAGTGGGTAGTGGTGGCTGAACGGTTAAGGCTCTGAGTTACTGCTCAGAAGGTTGGAGGGGTTCAAGCCCCAGCACTCTCAAGCTGCTGCTCTTGGGAACTTGGGCAAGGCTCTTAACCACATCTGCTCCACGGGTGCTGTATCATGGCTGACCAAGCTGGGATATGTGAACCACTGCATTTCATTGGCTCTGTATTCGCACTCTGCACGATGACAATAAAGTTCTGACAATAAAGAATCTAATTATGGGACAGCATGCTCACTGCCCCCACTTAGCTTCCATAAACTGCAAAAAAAAAAAAAAAAAAAAAAAAAAAAAAAAAAAAAAAAAAAAAAAAAAAAAAAAAAAAAAAAAAAAAAAAAAAAAAAAAATTGACTGTAAATCTAAGTTCTGTAAAAATCTACAGTAAAACATATTTACAGTAAAGTACTGTAATAGCTTACATAGTATAATACCTAATCTAGTACATTTGCTCATTTGGCTAAGGCAGGATATAACTGAGCTGAAGATTAAGGGTCTTCCTCAAGGATGCAACCATGGCAGTTTGACAGTGACAGGATTTGAACCCTCTCCTGAGTGGAAACTCAAAGCCGTAACAACTTAGCCACCTCAACTAACTGAACCAGCTTGCATTAATTCAAAGTAATCTTTCAGTGTAAGTTGATTCAGCAGTAGAAGTGGTTGAATCAGTGCTTGCGAGTGGAGCTTGTTGTTGTGGTTCAGTGGTTAGGGCTTTATGTTACAGTTTGAAAGATTGTGTGTTCAAATCCCAGGAGCACCAAACTACTGTGGTTGGGGTGTTGAGTAACATTCTTAACCTTCAGCTCCATTGTATCCTGCATCAAACGTATGTCTCTATTTTTCAAAATCATCAGCCAAATGCGCAGGTGTACTGAATTATGTGTTATTTTATACTGTGTAAGATATTACAGTACTTTACTGTAAATATGTTTTACAGTTGTTTACTGTACATTTTTACAGAACTTTACTGAAAACTCTGATGCCAGTAAATTACTAAAATTTACAGCCAATTTTTTTTACAGATCATCAGAGTTATTATTGCACCTAACGGTCAAAAATGGGAACTACAACAAGCACAACCGGAGATCTATTGGGGCAGGAAACCCACTGCGTCTTGCTTGTTCTCTGAATATTCTCAGAAAAGGAGGATCATTGGACAGGACAATTAATGTGGTTGCCAGATTGGGCTACTTAAAAATACTCAGTGGCTGCCAAGATCTTATTTTATAGCAAATAATCAGAATTAAATCTAATAAAAATTAATTCCACAAAAAAGTGTAAGTGCAGTCTACATTTGTCTTCCTTTTCCAATGCCCAAATTATATCTTTTTATGTGGTTTTTGAGATTGGGCTGGAAAATTTGCTGAAACCTGGCAATCTTCTTTAACGATATACTGTGGGTGACGTATTGGCAAAAGGAAGTGCACCTGCTGCATTGAGCAAAGGTTAAACAAAGGTACACAGTTGAACATGGGTATGTCTAAAATGGTACGCTGAAAATGAGCTGCTAGACTGTATACTGGATGGTTGTATGTTGCCGTCTTTCAATGGCCTATTACAGTGGTGCCCAACCTGGGGTCCGCCAGAGTTCACAGGAGGGTCGCGGCTGATATGATTTGAGGTCAAATAAAGATGCATAAAATGTTCCACTAATAGTTTTATATAAAAATATTTTTGTATGTTTTTAAAAAAACACACCGATACAGGTACAAAGGAATTCTTATATCGATTTAACTTACACATTGGGATTCTATATCTTCTACCAGAGGGAAGCAGTTCATACTGTAAGTACAAGAAATGAGTCTGATCACCAAGAATCTTCTCTACCTGATTGAGAACGCATTCCTCATATAAATCTGGAAGGTTAAAATGTTCGTCATTAACTTAGATTTAAACTGTGCTGACAGGTTACCAAACCATACTGTGATACCATACCTAACAATACTTTCTAAAACAGCTTTATAAAACGGCAACATAAGATTCTTGTTTACTCCATAGAGACGCAACCTACGTAAGAAATACAATCTCTGCTGTAGATGAGTGCAAACCCATTCAATGTGTGTTTTCCATGTAAGTGAACTATCTATGTAAATGACTTTTGATGTGAAAGAAAATTGTTTACCTTTACACACTGAGTTCTATCTGTTAAAAAAGAATAGTATCACTTAACAATACATGGGTTTACACTCAGCTGCCTCATCTTATCAATTAACAAATGAGGTTGAATCGTGTTAAAAGCAGAGCTAAAATCAAAAAACAGTAACCAAGCATAAGCTTTAGGATCTTCTAAATGCTTCAAAATCAAGTGCATAATGCCGTTAATAGCATCTTCAGTTTCCCTCACTTGTATATAGGCGAACTGTAGGGGGTCTAGATTACTAACAACCTCTGCTTTTAACATAGATACAACACACTTTTCAAAACATTTCATAATCACAGCTGTTTATGCAACCGGTCTAAAATCATTATTCTCTAAAGGCCTAGCTATCTTAGGAACAGGTATAATCAATGTTCTTTTCCACAAACTGGGAACAGTACCTGAATCCAAAGATTGTTGAAATGTAGGAAGCCAAGCTGGAGTCAGTTCATCCGCACAACACTTAACAATATGGGGAGAAATTCCATCCGGGACTGCTGATTTCTTTGAACAAATATGTTTAAAATAGAAGTTAATCTGATTCGAATCAATCAATTCTATTTTAAACATATTATGGGTCTATTCATTAGATAGTAGCATATGGATTAAGTCAAGTGTGGTAGCCTCCTGAATTAATTTTGTTTAAGGCTCTGTCATTAATAATGTTGCTCTGCCACACCAAAATCTATCATCACAAACCACTGCTGGTTTATACACATGATTATCTGGTTATGTTGAGTAGTTCTGGCTATTTAGATCTAAGACCAGTGACTGACATTTGAGTGACATTAATATTCTTCATTCATTAAATTTCAGGAACTGGTTTATCCTGATCGTGGTCTCTGTGGATTTGGAGTGTATCCTGGGAACACTGGACACCCTGCAGGGTACCATGCACACACACATATACACCTAAGTGGAAATTAGAGTTACCAATCCACCTACTGACATGTTTTTGGGAGCTGGACGAAAACTGGAGAACCCAGAGGAAACTGGGGAGAACATATGAAGCTCTACACACGGTAACCCAAGCTCAGGATTGAACCTCAAATTATTTTGCAATCACAAACACAATATTTGTTCTTATATGAAGAGACGATAATGGCCTTCATTTTTTTTTTATGTCAAACTTAAACAACCTTTTTAGTTATATAGATAAAATCTTGCGTGTTTGCACCATTATACCAGACTTGCAAAGTCTTTCACATGAAAGTTTGAACATTCTGATTTCATTGACGTTATGCTCTAATGCAGCAAGGTGCAGTCATTTGTAATTGCTTACTAAATACTACATGCTTCTCAGGCCACTGAACTCAGAGGCATGCAAGCACAAGTTTAATTCACTGTAAACAGAGGAGGAGAGAACACGTCAGGCAGGATGGAAGTTTACCAATTTATTCCTGCTGAAACACATTGGCAACTGGGAATACAGCATGGAATTTGTGATAAGCCAAGTGGGAAATCAAGTGAACTATTCTGCTAAAAAACCTGATTAAAGACCTCGTTTGCATGGTTCACCCTATTATGAAAGCATGTCTTTAGCCAAAAATTTAAATTTAATCTCTATCTGTGGTGTTTCTTTGAGGCAGTTTTCTTTGCATGGCTGACAGTTAGGAGCAGTAAATAACAGTGTGACTGAGACTCATGCTGGGTTTCTATTTCAGCGCTGTTCTTCTGTTAGTTATGTGGAATTGATGGCACCATGTCAGTGAAGACGGAGTGTTTATGTTGAGCAAGGCTTCAGCAATAAAGTAGTTGAGGATTCAGAAGCTCAGCTATGCAGAGAGGACAATCTGACAGTTCCATCTGCCTCAGATTTAAAAAAAAAAAAAAAAAAAAAAACCACACACACATTTTTCCACTGCATCATTTCACTTGTCAGACATTATTTATATGAAATTGGTCTCTCAGTGTCCTGTCACTCTTCTAAAATGTTACACAATTTATATATATGTATATATAAATATATACATTATATACATTATATATATATATATATATATATATATATATATATATATATATATATATATATATATATATAGAGAGAGAGAGAGAGAGAGAGAGAGAGATCATATCAAGGTGAACAGATTTAGTTTCATTTAGTTACTAAATGAAGTCCACCTCATCAAAGGCAGCACATGGGCTAGTCATGCTGTTGGCTTAATCAGAAAACAGTGTGAATAAAAAGAAAGGAGGAGGAGAAAAGAAGAGTGAGATGTCCTTTATGTGTGAGAACGAGCATGAGAGGTGGGAGAGAGTGTTGGAGGAAGTGCAGCCACATGGCCCTGAAGCTGGGCCCAGCTCACACTGCCACAAGAATGCCTTGACAGAGGGCTTACACAAGGTTTGATGCAAAGATGCCAAATTATAACCGTGGACACTCTCACTTTTTTTTTTTATTGAGCAGATCAAAACACTGCCTTTTTACTCTGAAAAGCAACCTTGCCATTTGTGAAAGATGCTGTATAAACTGAATGTTTCTGTATAATATAATAAATTTCTGTATAAGAATAAAAATTATGTCCTATGCTCACTTAGTTTTGATGGAAACTAAACTGACATTATTTAATGACCTTGTCTCTTATCATTCAATCTAGAGTGGATACACGGGAAGAATGAAGCAGCAGTATGAAAGCCATGTTTAGAACTAACAAGAGAGATTGTTAATATATGTTGTCGTCTAGCATACTTTTTCATCTGGACCATCAAGGGTTAGATACCTGAGGGACATAATGTATTTATCAGCACTGAGATTTTCCACTGTACTCTGTAAAATTTATTTTTTTTTCTGTCTATTCATTTACTATCTGTAATGGGAATATTTCACTCCCATTTCATCAGCTGCTAACTCATTCTGAAATCCGTAGTCTCTTCTTCCTCACAATCAGTATTAGAACACGACTTTGCAATTTACATTTCATTGCCCTGAGCTGAACACAAGAAAGAATGGAATGTCATGCTATTTGATTTCAAATGGGTTTTAACCCAGTAAATTGGAGAAAGCTAGTCATGTCACAAAGTCTGGTCCATCAGGCTTGTGACAAGCATTAGCTGTGGAAAATTACTCTCCCTCCGTGGAGAGGGGAAGACATGTTCCCTCGAAAATAGAGCTAAATATGCTATTATCTGGCCGTTTTTCCTGTCTATACCTCTATAACTATTCAATTTGGCACAGAATTTCTCCTAGAAAATAACAAAATAAGCACCAACTGGGCACCAACTGGGTCCCAACTGGCTGTTTGTGAAGAGCAAATTGACCAAAACTGAAGCCGGCTTGTTGTGTAAATTGATTAATTTATGCAAAAATCATGCATTATGCATAAATGATTCAGTGGCGAAGAATAATGAGGCTGTTATAGACTGTGAGTGTTGGTAGTCCACAGATATGAGGGATATTTGATCATCCTAAACGATGTGATAAGCAGATAGAGTGTGGGGCTCAGTTAGGCCACCTCTACCAAGAACTTAATTTTAAAGTAAAAGTTAAAGTAGAAATGAGGTAGAAAAGGGAAAATTAGTCTCTTATATAACAACATCAGTTCCCACCTAGAGCACAGTGGAGGACACATGCCCATCGTGGCTGTAGCTCATGATTTCTTGCTGTAGGTTCAACAGTCTCC